CTCCGAACCCCTCTACAGATCTTCAGCTCACTGTCCACCGTGTGCACTCCGATCCGCGCAGAGCACAGTGTCCAGTATAAAGCTCTGATGTTCTGATGGGAATCTTTTCTTGATTGATTTAGTTACCTCCGCGATGTGCGTTAACGATTAAAATGTCAGCTCATCTGTATGTGTCAGGGTAATTCTTTCAAAACAACCAACATCCTTGAGTTTATCCGTCAAAATAAACAGTCAAATGTAAATATCTGTAACCTGCCATTTAACTGTTTTGCCTTCTTGTGAAGATTGTTGCAAAGAGAAACAACTAAACTTGATTAACCCCAGAGCCACGCGCACTGCGCTGTACTACGTGACTGTAAATGAGGAAAAAAACGACTTAATCAGATCCTTTTCTTACCTTTTCAACATGGTTTAATGTAAAGTTTTATTCAGTACAAACTTTAGTTGCACCAATCTAACGAGACAGAGCCTGGATTTGTATTCTGAACAGTTTAAACATGTTTAAAACGGAGACACGAGTGACACGTCTAAAATTTGCACCTGCTCAACTATTATGGAAATTAAACTAACAAGATGAATAACATGAAATTATTTTAGGCACAGACAACATCCCCCACACTTTTAAAAAGCTTGCAACGCGCCTGATGACCGAGACATTAGATTTTGTGATTATTTAACTGTAGAATTCTGACATATTGCTCCTTTAATGTCAAATGAAGGCATTAAAAAATTTATCTTCTTTAGGATTTCAGCTAACACTTTACAATAAGTGGCCCTTTCATCATGTTTCTTAGTGCATTATTAAGCATTAATAAACAAAATATTTCATTATTAACGTTCCCAACATTGTTCAGTAATACGTGTCCTTAAGGTTAGGACAAAGAGCCAGGGGTGTGTGTGTGCTTATTGATGCATTACTTAATATTAACATTAATTAGCAGTTGTTACTACTTAATTTATAAATTTTATTAGATCTCACAGAAGCATACCTGTTGTGTTATTGTACCTTTATACCTAACAAATAACTATATTATGTCCTTGCTTTGTAAAGTTGCTCCCTGTATTAATGGAAATGTAAGTTCATCCTATTTTACTTCAGGGTGGTGGATGAAAATGCTCTGTTGTTGCAACCAAACATCTTTTTTTTTAATATCCCGTGTCCTATCTGGCTGTGAATCAAATAGAATTAATGTCTGAATGCTGGTGACAAGCCTTACAGATTCACTCTCAGGTGGAGCATCAAAGCCTCTGCTTTAATGTCACGCCTGATACTTAAAACTTTATTGTTATTGCTTTTTGAATGCTTTGTAATTTCGACCAGACACGGAGACAGAGGTGAAAGAGAAAGGAAGAAACACGGGGGGGGGGGGGGGGGGGGGGGGGGGGGTGCCACAAAAATAAACTGTCAATGATAAACAAGAGTCTGCTTCTAGACCTGCAGAAAGAGAAAGACAAACTAAAAAGAAAATAATAATAATAATAATGGGGATATACAACAATACAACTGAGCAAGCTATAACTGCATCAACCTAATGAGGAATTATAAAGTCAACATTGTTTTACTGAACAATCACACGATAATAAATCACAGTGCATTTAGTGCCAGCCACAACCTTAAGACGTGTTGAACGTGCCCAAGACCGTTCTTATGAGAGCACCATGTGAGTACCTGTGTGCGTACCCGCACTTGTATATGTAAGGTTTCTCTATAGGAACATCCAATAGAGAGTGTGAGGGGCAACAGATCTGCCCCCCAAAGATGTGTAGGAGATGGAAGGAGCTCCAAGTCCCAGAGATTCAGGAGCTGCCCCAGAGCACAGGGACCGCAGGGAGACTGTAGCCAGAAAAGCCCCTAACCCCCTCAAGAGGCACAGTGGATTGCCCTGGTGGGCCACAACCAGCAGCCGGCAGAGTCCCCTGGAGATATCAGCGGCAAGCCCACAGGCCCGCCCGCAGCCTCCCACCCCCAAGCCGGCTGAGCCTGGAACCCAGCGACCCGGGATCCAGGGGCGACCAGCCCAAGCGAGCCCATGGATTCAGATCCCACCAGGCAGTCACCGGGATTAATCAGGCAGACTCCAAAAATCTTAAACCCCCTGACCCGGGAGCCACGAACACTCAGGCAGACTAAGGCACCACGCTCCACACCAAATGTGGCAGGGGGAGAGGAGGCGAAGATGTGTAGTAGCACAAGAAGTCTCAGGAGAGGGTAGGAGTCCAAGACCCCACCTGACATATTCAGCCATACACAGACAGTCACACACTCCCTCCCTCATGCTCACACATACACATACAACCTAAGACTTACAAAAATGAATGCTAGATACCTACTCACACTCCCCATACACACCCTATTCACTCTGGTCCTGGTACTGCTGCACAAAGGGTACAACCATCACCGGTTCCCAGAGTTCGACCCTTTCTGCTGGGGTGCTGATGAGCAGGCTCCCCCGCCCAATGCTGAGCAAACCGACCCACCACCCCAGACCCCAGCCAGATCCCCCTCCTTGCCTCCAGCCCCGGGAAGCCAAGTGACAACAGAGGTGTGCTAAGACCCCTAGTCACCCTCCGCCTGCTCCAATACACTGTTGGTGCGTGTTGATAAGGTGCATTCGTGGCTGTGGTGAGTGGGCATTGCAGGCATCATCTGGCCTACGCCAGCTGATGCCACCACACCACCCCTCTTCCCCCCACAGCCCTCTTTGTCTAAGGGCAGTTCAAAATTGGAAGTGGGCACCAGCACTCGGGATGAGGCTGAGTATAATAATGGGTATAATAATGATTAATTATGACTATGAGTGATAACAGTATTGTGTTCAGCAATGAAGGTCACTTCCACCTTATCCATCTAACACAGAGTTCATCTAAGCAATAACTGCCAACACATGTTTTTGACTCATGACCAAAGCTTTCTAGCTGAGAGACGGGGTGTGTTCTGAGAGCTTTGTAAACTAACCATCACCAGCTTCAGTTCAGTTCTTGAACCAACATCATCCTGAGGAGACGGGACGGCCGCCCTGACCCTCTGCCAAGCTGTTCTGTCACGCCGACAAGAATAGCTAAGAATAAACGTAACTGTAACCAGATGACGAAAACTCTTCCCGGAGTTATTGATTTCTGAGTTAAGTTAAGACAAGACATTTCTAAACAGTTAAGCCAAACGCTCGACACTGTGTACCCGGCGACATCTCTGGACCAGAGGGTCGGTTCTCTCGCGTCTTCTCTGCCAGACCGAGTACCCTGGATGAAACACCATCCTCCTGACCTCCAGATCCACAAGAGGGTCTCCTGTTTGGGCGAGGTAGCACACAGAATGCATTTGATGCTGTTTTCTCTAAGTGAAAGACTCAGTTAGCTGCAAAACATCATTTCCATCCAGAACGCTTTTTCTCTCTCTGAAAGAAATCTTCTGAGAATTCCATTCACGCATCCAAACTCTTAATTTCCAATTTAGCTTCCATCCAGCCACAGGTTTGTCCTTTTAAAACAAGTTTAATATCAAAGCTGTTAAAAATTGTCATTAAATTGTCATCCATGAATTGTCGTTCAAATCTTTAAGTTTAAAATTGTTAGTAATAAAATTTCATCATTTTTAAACTTGCCTCATTATTGAATTGAAACACAGAAGGGTATGATATTTCTGGTTATTGAAAAACAAAGATTCCTAGCTTCTGATTCAAAATAAACGTTTGCTATTAAATTTAATTATCTTAAACTAAACATTAATCTCTGGATTAAAAATAGACTAAGTGAATTGGGATATGAGTTTCTATTGATTATATAAGTATCTTGTATATTTATACATGATGTAAGCTCATATGCTGATGTGCTCGGCCATTCTCAGAATCTCCAGCTGAATTGCAACAGTGTTGATTCTAGTGTGTAGATTAATCGCTACAATAGTAATAGATGTTATACAGACATTGTTTGCACATAAACAAAACCGGTATAATACATTTTGATGTTAATTAAAAGGGCAAGATTATTTGACAGATCTGTTCTCCATTTACAGGAAAGAGGAGTCCTGCAGCATCACATGGAACAACTTATTCTGATGAGATCAGGAACAGCTCTTTATAACGATGCTGCATAGCTGCGTGCTACTGTTTTATTACAAGATACAAATCTAGAAACTTCATTGAATCCTGAAAAAAAAACATATTTTTATAAGATGTTGTATAAGATAAGTTAAAAAGGCTGTTTTCAACCCCGCCAATTTTATTTTTCAAAATGCAGATGCACAAAAAGTCAAACAGGTCAAATTTTATATCCGATTGAGTTGCTCTTTAATCAGTGTTTCCTATAGCTTTAAATGAGGACACTCCTTACATTCCACAGCTTCTTAAATTGCAGTTTTACTCATTGTTTTTATTGACATTTAGGTGGGTTCAATGTACTATATATTATTACTCTTTTTGACAGTTTCATGCCTTCTCAGCATCAGTTGTGATATGTGTGAATTCTGTAATCTGTCAAGTTTTTGAAAGTTTTTTCATGCTTTCTTTGGTAAAATGATGGAATGTGTTTTCTGTTGCAGGAGCAAAAGGATTTTACTTATATAGAACTGCTTGCCAGGTTATTAAATTAACATATTTTTATCCTTAAAGATAACATTTGGGTTTTAGCGTACATTTTTTACTCAAGTAAGCTGATTTAAACCACTTGTGGGCAGATTCGCCTGGTTTCTAACTAAATTAACCCAAGCTTAACTCTGTCCTATCCACAGCTGACTGTGCAGCTCTGTAAGCACAATTTGTTGTTTTTAAGGAGACAATTTGAGTTTGTTCTGTGTGAATTTGAATGAAATCTTAAGTACTGACAAACTTTGGATTCTTCATTTTCCCATTTTTGATTATTGAATGTATAAAAACCTGTTTTAAGAGTCAACCACAAAAGGGCAGGTTTGCTGTGGGGCTTGGCTCACTTCAGCTTAAGCATTTCTGGTTTAAAGGTGTTTACTCACTTCCTGTGGGCGAGGTTTCCACCAGACCTAAAACCAGAGTTTCAGCCATGTGGAGACATAGAAAGGTTCAACTGTGGAGTGTTGGAGTCATTTCTATTATTGAAGGTCAACTTTAAAGTACATTTGTTATGATCAAGTGCCTGTTGGATGATGGTTTGTGGATGGAAAAAAGTGCAATGCAGACTAAAAAAGTGAGTAAAAACCATGTTTTTCTTTCTTTGTGGGATTATAATCACTTTCATTAGTGTCTGTAAAGGTAACTTGATAAAGATACTGACTTTAATATATAACAGCCATTCAGTAATGTTGAATCTCTGAACATGTTCTTTGCAAATATTTTATCCAATGGAAAAAAAATACAAGGTCAAACAATAGCAAGTAAAAGCACTTTTCACTTTACAGAGAGTTAATAACAACATTCATGACCAAAATAGTAGCTTATGGGGAGAAAAAAGTCTCAAAAGATCTGTGTGTATGTATCTAGATTTGTGCGTGTGTATCAAGATTAATTAACCATTTATTAGTCATGGCTCACAAACACATATGTCTAAATAAAAAAATTGAGATTATAAAAAAATAAATGTTGATCTATCTTTTATAAATATAGGATCCTGAGATATTGTTCCACAGAAAAACATATTTGGCCTGTCAACACAAGTTTAGACTAAATCCAAAGGAAATTTGGATTTCCCAGCTTCTACCCAGCATTCAAACGCACCATGTACGCACAAATTAGTCAGGTGTGAAGAGAGTCTCAAAGAGATTTTTGTGCTTGTAAACTGATCTGTGTGTAATGTAGTTTTGTCCGTGTTTACCAGGTGATTTGTGTGTGTGTATTCAATGATTTGTATGTGTAGGAGCTGAAGTTACACACAAAAATGTAAACACAAGTTACAAATCAAGAGTTACACACACACAAATTTAGATACACATGCACAAATCTAGATATGCACATACAGAACTTTTGAGATTTTTTTCTCCCCATAGAGCGGGTTGACCAGGGCAGCTGTGGCTACATAGTAGCACATCACCATCAGTGTGTGAATGGATGAATGATACTGCAGTGTAAAGCGCTTTGGAGTCCTCTGCCACTGAAAGGCGCTACACAAGTGCAGGTCATTTATCATCATTTATTATCCATAGACAACATTTGTGTTAAAACATGATAACTTCTTGTCAAAATGTGCTGAAGTCAACCCCCGTTTCGTTGTGTACACACTAAAAGGAAGTTCGTAAAGGCAGAGGATGTTGAGAAAATATTTGCACCTATAAATTGCATTAGATGTGTCATCATTTTGATTTCCCCACTTCTGCTTTTTCTTTAACACACTTGTTTCCCTCCACCTGAAAACAGGACCTTTCCAGTAGTTGATATCTGCATGAAGATGGGACATGCTTTGCTTCTTGAGCTGCTGTTGTTCTGTAAGTATGTTGAAATGAATTTAGAAGATCAAGAAAAATTTACTGGAAATGACAACATTTTGATAAGAATTTTAATAGTATATTTCTGACCGTGAAGTGTATGAAAATGATCACTGTCTTAAAAAATCCACAATTAGGTCATAGATTTTTATTTATAAATTTTTGTCCTTTCACCAGCTGTTTGATAAGATATTTTATCCTCATCCATAATTTATTTATTTTATTATGTTAAGGCCCATTAACACTTTGGTCAGCTTGCCCTGGGTGGCATGGAGACACCACCATGCAGCCAGAAATAGTTTATACAGCCTTCTCAGGCACGTGCCCATATGTGTGGACAATGGGCCCTGCTAGTGGCAGGGGTGTGGACATTGGGCTCTGCTAGTGGCAGGGAGAAGTCCATGATGTCCTTCCCTAAGCACCACAAATTAGTACACATGAAACACACACCTTCCTACTCTTCTCACTGAGTAGCAACAAAGCAAGGTCATAATCAGTCCTTGTTCCACGAACACTCATCGCACACCATCAATCCTCACGCTGCAGCTCGGTCTGAAGAACAGTCAAAGAAAACATTTACCTCACTGCTTCTAGATTGCTAATGAATCTTACATGTAGGAAGCCGCCACTGGCTGATTCTACTCATACCAATCAGAGACCACAACAAACAGCAGGGAAGCAGGGCAGAAAAAAATGGTCGTCTCCACACGAACAATGCACAGATAACGGCAAAGTAATGTAATCGCAAAGACCCCAGCCGGCCCAGACCAAACTTACCCGAGTGTAAATGTACCTTACCTTTGCATTAATTTTACAATACTGTGTCTAGGTGGCTAGGGTACCTGGGGTAACATATGGGGGCTTGTCCAGGATTTTATTACCTTTATCTTTATTTACGCGCATGATCTAGGTGTTTTTCAGTGCTCGTGAATGAACAGTGATAAGGCAACACTGTTTCCCGCATCTCCTTCCTTCTGATTGACAATGGAATTACAACTGTGGTAATCAACCCAGCCACAGCCTGCTGTAGCTAGCACTAACAATGAGCTAATGTTAACACAAACCAACTGACACTAAATAAGCCATGAAAAAAAGATCCTGACTTTTAGACAAAAAATATTATTACTTACAAGTGCTCTGATCAGACCATACCTAACACAACATGCCACCTAGCTCCTGGTGCAATCTACTGTCATCTCCCGCCTCGATTACTGCAATGACCTTCTAACTGGTCTTCCAGGCTGTACTGAGACCTCTTCAAATGGTCCAGAACGCAGCGGCGCGTCTGGTCTTCAATCAGCCAAAAAGAGCACACGTCACCCCTCTGTTCATTAAGCTCCACTGGCTACCGCTAGCAGCACAAATCAAATTCAAATTACGAACACTAGCATACAAAGTATGAGATGGTACGGCTCCCATCTACCTGAATCTTCTTGTAAAGGCTTACGTCTCGGCCCGGCTGCTGCGGTCATCACAGGATCGTCGGCTAGCAGTGCCTACACCATGCTCAGGATAATCCAGACTCTTCTTATGCATCGTTCCACAAATGTGGAATGATCTACCAAGCACTACCAGAACAGGGGCATCCTTTTCAATTTTCAAGAAACTCCTGAAGACCCTGCTCTTCAGAGAGCATCTTCGTAACTAGCACCTTGCCTGCACCCTTCCCCCTCTCTACTGTCCACTCCTTGTTCCCTCCCCTCCATGATTGATGACAAATTGTTGTTGTTATTGTTGTTGTTAGACTCAAGGGCAACATGCCAATTATCACTTTGGTACACCCCTACAGTGGGCTCAGCTAGGAAGGTGAGGAGGGGGCAACATAAAATGGACGAGTCTAACGTAAGTTCGCCCTAAAGGGGGGAAAAAAGGCATGACAAAGCAAAACCAAACTCAAATTGTCCTTGTCTTCAAGTGTTTATTAAAATGGGCTGGAAATCCAAGGGGGGTCGCTGCAAAACCGTCACCTAGAAATTAAACCAATTTAAGATTACCACATTAACTGAGAACGTCCAGGCACCGAAAATCCTAAAATTACTCTCCTTTATTAAAAGGGGACTGGAAATCCACAAAGGGCAAAAACCCCACCAGGTAATTAACCAAGGTTTGTCTAAAGGACAAACCAAACTAAGATTACCAAATTAAATGAAATTGTCCAAACTTCAAAAATCCTTTCTACTCTCTCGCTAGCAGTAAGCACAAAACTGCAAAAGGTTTAGACTGGGCCAAGAACCGCAAGGGAAGAGAACACCAGTTGCTGCTGCAACCTACAAACAATTTCTCTTCCTTGATGAGCTCCAGCTGGCTGCTTTTGAAGGGCCAGCTGATGAGGTAAAACGACCCAGCTGGTGTGACTGCTGCCCTGGTGCTGTCCATGGTCCTGGATGAAAGCTGGTTGTTTCCCAAGGGTAGCTGTCCAAGGTGCTGCACTGCTGAACAGGGAAACGGCACACCCTGGACCAAGGAAGCGCTGCACACACACTGGGGCTCCAAAACGGCGGCGGCCGTAACACACCTGTAAGTCGCTTTGGACAAAAGCGTCTGCTAAATACATGAACACATAAACACAAGTGCAGTAGCAACAAAGCCATGTCAGCATCAGTCCTTGATTTTGTATCCTCCGTCAGCTCCTCCAATGAGTGCAGTGCTACCGAATATACTGGTGAACCATTTCCAGGAAATAGAAGTGAGCCACATCACAGTTGAGCTTCAGATGGAGTCTTATTCCTGATATTTGGACATCTCACCTCAGATTGCATAACAGCAATGCGACCCAACCACTCGTTAGCGATGTTGATGTTTTATCTACACAAATAACACAAGACTGGAACATTCTGCCATGTAGGGGAATTGCTAATGCTAAAGGTTAGCTTCTACCAGCTGAGATGTTTTCTGCTGTTTCCTGGACGCAAAACCCACAACAGCCTTCCCTGTTGTGAGTCAAGATGAGTGAGTCGATGAATGTTAAGTGATTGTGAGACGTTGAGCTTTCAGGCCTTGCTAAAATGACCCATTACATGGTTAATGAAAAATCACTCAGACACCACTATGGCCAGAATACTGCACTTGCAACTTGACAGTATCTGGGCTGATCCGAGTTTGTCAGTAGTAAAGTGGAGCTGAGATTCTTGCACTGCAGTCTGCTTCCTGCACATGATTCCTGCATATTTTAGAAAGTGAACACAGCTGCTCTGTTTGATTTAGTGATTATCCATTCCTGTAGAAACTAACAAAGACTGAGGAGACATTAAAGTAATTAGATTAAGGCACAGTGAGGAGAAGACTTTCACTTTCAGTTTTATGACAGTGGATTATTAACTGACTCTAAGGGGTGCTAAATGCAAGTGAAAACTACCAAGTGTGCCTTTAAAAGCAAATGATCGAGGGATCCCTGTTGGATTTTTGTGTTGTTTTAGTTTGATCTAATTCAGTTTGAGTATTTTAAAATTGATTTTAAAATCTGGTGTTCAAGTGTTTTATGTTGTTGCTGGTCTTGCTCCTTGAAAGCACACTGAATTGCCTTTGTGTATGAAGTGTGTTATTCCAGGGGTGGGGAACCCCGGTCTATCGAGGGCCGCTATCCAGCACATTTTATTTTCAACCCTGCTTCAGCACACCTCATTTCAATCAGCAGGTGATTAACAGGCTTCTACAGAGTTTGATGAGCTGCAAAACAGGTGAATCAACCACTGAATCAGAAGTGCTGGAGCAAAAACGTGCAGGAAACCAGCCCTCGAGGACCAGGGTTCCCCACTCCTGTGTTTTTCAAACAAAGCTACCTTGCCTCGCCTTGTACTCTTTTTGAATAAGGTGGCAGTGTTTCATGCTTAATACTCTGTTGTGATTCTCACAGGAAGTTAAAAATGTAACTAGAATAAAATTGTCTTAGTCTGGGCTTGTGCTAAAGAATAAATTATGTAATTGTTATCTACACATAATTTTTTTGAAGTTTTAATATTTCCACTTTCATTGCAGTTTCAGTCTTCCACAATGGAATCCCTCAAGGTTTGCTTTTAAATACATTTATTGCATCATTTTTAAAACAAATGTTGATTGTAAATCTATAATTGAATTTGACTTTTTTAAGTATTTAAACCACAACTTGCACAGGTGCTCCATATTGTAACCTTTATGTTGTGTTCTAGAGGCTGTACTGACCTTAGAGCCCAACGTTTTGACTTTTTTTGATGGAGAATCTGTGACCTTCATATGTGACATGAATGAAGGAAAAAACTCTGCCTGGAAGTACAGAATTGACAAGAATGGTCAACAACATATTCCCTATAATTCACACCAAAGCTACAGTATAGATGTTCTACATACATATGACAGTGGTAATTATCGATGCTGTGGTCGACAGCAGCTTTTATATAAATGCAGTAACACTGTCTTCATAACTGTATCAGGTGAGTCCTCAGTGTTTTATTAGCATTACTACATTTACTCACATTATTGTAAAACTGTATCTTTTGAGCCAATTAGATTGGAACATAAGTTTGTATAAATGATCTAATATTGATATAAATATGAGAAATTAAATGTTAAAAGTAAAACATCACATGACTCATACTGGAGCTACAGATGAAAACAAACCTCAAAGTCTGATTTTACTGAACATTCTCTATTTTTTTTCATTACTTGTCATCTTGCAAAATCTGTTGAATTAATGTAAGTTTTCCATTTGTAATAAAAAGCACAACGACTTGCAGCCAGAGTGACATCAGGTCCAACCACCATACCAGTAGGAGGTCATGTGACTCTGAGCTGCTCCGTGGAGAGTTCTGCTGACTGGAGATACCAGTGGTTCAGACAGATCTCAGACTCTAATGAAGCTGATGTTACACCAAATAATAATGAAGAAAACCGAGTTATCAATGTAACACGAGGAGGAATTTATCGGTGTAGAGGACAGAGAGGAAATCCAGTATTCTACACTGATTTTAGTTATGAGATCAGGATCCATGTAACCTGTGAGTTCTATCATCTTCAAAACAAACATTCCTTGTTATGATTTCTGTGACATAATGTTTCTGTTCCTTTTCTAATGGAATCAGTTTCCAACAAACCTGTTGTGTCACGAGAACCAGCGTGGCCTCAGCTTTTCAGTGGTGAGAAGATCAGTCTGACATGTGTGGTTTATGGAGGAAAAACCATCAAGTGGACGTGTGAATGGAAAAGACATAAATCAGTTCTACACCAGACCAACGGGAAACAGTGGAGCTTCACTGTCTCTGAGCTCAGCAGTGGAGACTACAGGTGTCTGTGTAGACGCAGAGATGACTTGTATTCTTCTACAAAGTGGAGTGAAACCATCACATTGTCAGTTTTACGTGAGTATTTTTTTCTATGTGTTATGGAAATTTCATATTTCATTGCTTTAATCATGTTAACAAATGTCCTGAAGCATTCTCACACTCAGACACACCCACACACTGTTCTTCACACACACACACACACACACACACACACACACACACACACACACACACACACACACACACACACACACACACACACACACACACACACACACACACACACACACACACACACACACACACACACACATTCTTGTCTCACTCATACACACACTGTCTCTCTCCCTCACACAATGACCTCACTCCCATTCTTATCTTTCTGTTTAAATAAAGTCCGTGACCAGATGTTCGGGGCATTTTGCCTCGTGCATATGCCACAGTTATAACTGGTTGACTTGTTGTCTCATTGTCTCCTTCTCTCTTCGACTACAGGAAATGGGTTATTTATAAACATATTGATACAATCCCTAACACTGTGTTTTGGCTCAGTTATAAAACTAAAGGCATTCCAAGTGAGATGCGCCGAGCAGGGATGGGTATACTTGTTGTCTGGGCTTTACCCACAGTGTATGAGAGCCCTAGAGGTCGGCCGATATTGGTTTTTCTATTGCCGAATACCCATGTCTATCTTGTTGTAGCTCAGGAGGTAGAATGGGTTGCAGGTTTAATCCCGACTCTGACCTGAGAATGCTGCTGTTGTGTTCTTGAGCAAGACACCTAACCCCCCTTGTCTGCTGGTGGTGGTCAGAGGGACCGGTGGCGCCTGTGATCAGCAGCCTCACCTTTGTCAGTGCACTCCAGGGCAGCTGTGGCTAGGGCAGTGAATGACTGATTGTGTTGTTAAGCACCTTGGGGGGGGGGGGGGGGGGGGGGTTGTAGTACCCTAAGAAGGTGCTATACAAATATAGGTCATTTACCATTTGTTTTCATGCTAAAATGTCACAGATAACATCAGTTTGTTTGCAAAATTTCGGAAGCTGAATGAATTTCTGAACTTCGAATTTAACTGTTAAATCTTAATTATGTGCACTGCTCAGTGTTAAAATCAGACATCTAACTAAAGTTTATCAAACAAGTAAGTAACCTGACCAAACATTAAATATTGAAAACTGGTAAAGAAAAATACATTTTAGTTAGAAATAACCTTAGAGTGTTTATGAAAGCATACGTTATTCAGGAACGTAGAAAATACACTTCAATTAATTCTGCAGAAGCACCGTGCTGCCTGGGGATGTGACTGACTTTAAATTGGCTTTACTAAGGAGGAACATGATGCCCCTGTTTGAGGTAGACTGATGGTCGTCTTTAGCCTCTTCTGTTCTCTAATAATTGTAATGGTTTAATTTACATGTTATTTAATGAGCCATAAGACATAAGATTCCATAGTTAAAATGAAATCCACCTTATGGATCTGTGGGTACTGTTTAACCAGAAGATTAGAACTTTTTATTGCAGGGATTATGTAACCACTTCATATTAATTCAGAGACAACAGAGGAGAGAGTCAAGTTTTAAGAGTTTAAAGATTTATTACTAAACAAATTAAAACTGGACTAACTTTAACACTAAATGTATGGTGTAACTAAGGTGAGTGAGACGGAGAATGGTGTAATGTGGAATATTGCTCAGAACCAGCAAATCTGAAGAAACGATTAGTTCTGGTGGGAAGTGAAGGTGATGTCAGCCAGCTTAGTGAGCCGCCCCTGAAACATAGTTGACCTCAGGTATGACTTGATCAAGTTTTGAAAAGCTCCTCTCAGCTGGAGCCACAGTGACTGACAGAGCAGTCCAAAAGATGGGGTAGATCTCCAATAGATCTTTATCATTATCCATAATATTTTAGAATTGCCTCTGAAATTGTAATTTAAACTGACATAAAACAACTGTAGACTACCAAAAATGCCAACTTTTACAGAACAAATCATGTAAAAATAATCAGTGCAGCCATCTGCAATAAATAAACAGGATAGTTAGTGGTGACTGGGGAGTTTTCTTCTGCTTGTAGAGTTGTTTTATTATTATGTGAACATGATCAACATGTGTTTGTTGTTGTCCAGGCAGGCCACAGGCTGCAGCGAGCATTTAACAAATCCTAGTTTGAATCAGTAAAAAATGATTCAAGGAATTTTTTCAAACCGTTCGAATATTTGTTTCAATATTTCAGCCCTATTAGCTCTGTTAGCAATTAGTTGACCGAATGTAACCGTTAAAATCCCAGTTAATTGGTTATAAAAATTGAAAACATGCATCATGAGAGGTACATACCTTTATCTTTCTCCTCTTTTTTCTTTTTTTTTTTTTCCTGAATGGGGCACCTGGTGGTTTTAGCCTTTTTATGT